GAACAGAAAAAAATTATGGTCAAGTTCTCCAACAGTTTAAACAGAATAAATACTCTTCAGTTAAAAAAAGAGCAAATATTATTCTAAGGGCATTAACTTAGAAATAATGAAAGACTGATTCAGGTGTTCAAGTGAAACTTTACACAGCAAGAAAAGGGAAATTCCGGAATGTTTGTAATGAGACCAACACTTACAAAAAAAAAAAAAAAAAAAAAAAAGGGCGGGGGCAGTTAAACATTTAAATGTAAGTAAAGTTAGATCTGAATAAATAAGAGCAATCAAAATTGTCAAGACAGCATCATAAGCCTTTAAGAAAAATAACTTTTGGGTAGAATTAGAATTATGCCATGCGAGTTGTATTCTGAGATTATCCTACACAGAAGCATTATACATAACAGAAAGATTACAAGCAAGAGTCTGGCCAGAAATAGTCATAAAAATCATTTTTATACCTTAACCAAAAGTTAAACACTACAAAACTGTTCACTTATATTATTTTTGAGTCTGGTATACAAATACCTCTCACAAATGTGCACAAAGCTAAACAGAAAAAAAAACAATTATCCATCAGTTGCATACACTACATTTTCAAATCAATTATTTATACCAGCTTATGTTATATTAACACATTTAAAGAAATTATGAACATAAGCGTATTTAAACTATGAAATCAATTTCCAGTTATTTTCAAGCTATACAAAAGAATACAGAAAAATTGCAAATGGGTCACAGAAAGCAGCACAACACTGATCTATTGAGTATATCATCACTAATAAATATTAACTGGTTTGCTGAAAATATATATAACTATTTGAGAATAAGAAAAGTTTACCCAAGGTACATCTATCCATTAAGGAGACTTGTTTTCCTTCCTCACAATGTTTATCTGAAAACATTTAACAGACCAGCTGTCATTAGAGATCAAATAAAATGTAATCATAAACAGAAAAAAGAAAATGAATTTGTCTCATTGTTATTATTTACATATTCAATAAGCAAAGAAATATCACTAATAGATCATCTAGCAATAGAAACATGAAATTATGAAGGTTTTAATTCCAGTATTAAAAGATAGATCAATGTTGACAGTATAGCTGATCTCTGCAGGCAATACAATAATAATTAACACCCAAAACTGTTTAATAATATCATAAAGAAAGGTAAACTTAGCTTGGTGTTACTGGAATTGGGAATTTTAATTGCTTGAGTAAATCAACAGGAGTGTTTCTTTGACAAAGAAGTGATATTTAATTTTATCTTTGTTGTAACTCAGCAGTGAATTATTTTAATAAACAACCTTAAACACAACATTTTTTAAAAATTTTATATACAAAAAAAATGAACCAACAGGGTCCACAGAATGTAAAGCAAACTCAGTGTGCCAAATCATTTTCCTCTTATTTTCTTTTTTCAGTTACTTTGTCACACAGTAAAAAGCATCTGTTAACTGCCCAAAAATAAAATAAAAATCAACACTGAACATAACAGGTCTTCTTTCCTCAAATATATTTTCAATGTAACAAAATCAAACAAGTAGAAATTTGTCTTCAAACTGTAAGATATTTACAAATGACAAGCAAAATTAAAATAAAATTATACAACACTAAAAAAAAAAAAAAAGAAAAAAAAAGTAAAATTAAGAGCAATAAAAAAAATTAACAGCCAAATGTGTACAAATAAATAGAAACTTTGAAAAGCTAATAATAATAATAGTGAAATAGTCAACATTTACAGTTCCTAGTTTTCCCTTTGGTGATATTGGGTGCTCATTTTATTTCAGAATGGTGTGTGTGGATCTGTACAGGCCATAACTTCAAATGAATCCTATGGCTGACATCCTAGACACAACAAAAATTTTAATCAAACACTATTTTCATGCCTTATCAACATTATTGTCATTATTATTATTGTACACGTCTACAGAAGTCTTGTAACTTTTATTTTGCAAATTCTTTTTCGCAACTAACTTGAATATTTGAAGTTAGTTGAAAATAAATTCTTGAATCAAACTGGAATGAGAAAAATAGTAAATATTATAGATCAACTGATAACATTGGTATAATAATAATAATAATAGCAATAATAATCATTATCATCATCATTATTATTATTATACTGTATGTGTGTGGGTGTGTTATGAGAGCACCAAGTGATCTTGGGTACCAGAAGAGGCCATATTTTAATAAAGACTTTCAATCAAGGGTGTGGAGAAGGGCAAGACAGTGACAAATGTGGTGCTGTACTAGAAACATTATAAATAGGACAACATAAAGCAGCAGCAGCAGCAATAGAGGTGTCATTGGTGGTAGTGACAATAGTGATGGTGGTAATTTCAGAACAATCCAGGCATTGCAGCCCTAAAAACTACTTAATTGGTCAGTCCAAGAAAGTACTAACAGAACTCTCCTCTTCTTTCTCCTCAAAAACATCCCTCTTTTCTATTCCAGACTTACTTTCTGTCCCAAATATTATTTGACACATAAATAATAAAGGAATAAAAGTACATGCTGAGGGAGCGATACATAAAAGCGAGTGGTCCACGAACTAAAGGGGATGTAGTTCAGAATTTTAAAAAAGAAACTTTTCTGCAGAGGAGAGATAAGGATAATTCTAAAAATCTGGAACTAGAGTGGGTGGAAAGGTGTTGTAAATTGTGTTAAAGTGCATAAACTGGAAATAGAGGAGGCAATATAGGCACAACTATTTGTTATAAAGCCTATTGCATTACATACGATTAAATTATATCTTTTGGTAACAAATCTTAATCTAAATGTACCTCAACTAAAAACATAATACAGTCATGTGGCTTAAGTTTGCTCAGATGCATAGCATCAGGCTGTCATTTCAGACATTTACATAGTGTTTTATAGGAGAGTGTTGAAAAGTTCTGATCAGATAATCAAACATCAGAATTTTTTTTCTTTCTTTTTTTAAAATCTCTTTTTGGTCAGATCAAGAACTTTTCAGCACCCCCTCTTATTATAATAGATGTGACATATACAGTATGCATGCCATGAGAGGCCACTGGCTGCCTCTTTTCCTGTCATACATTGCCATGCAGTCCATTAAGCCTAGTTATTTTGAGGTTCATTTATGTTTTACTTGACTATCATAGAAACCTTTTGAAATATATAATTTCAATGTTGACTTCATTGTTCCTCCCCACATTGAATTTTTGGACATTGGTTAGTTATTGAGGAGAAGCTAACCATAAAGAGAATAAGAAACAAATCTTAGCTTTCAATTGGCATCCACAATAACATAAGATTGCCAACACTTATCAAACAGCAACAGTAAATATTTATACCATTAGATTTTACAAGTAAATTTTTGTATTTGTACATTGACATTGGCTTATGAAAAATCTTCCCATAATCTAGATGCCTGCTTTAAGGTTCCAACCTGAGCCATCCATAGTCATAAAAAAAATGTTGGCCAAACAGCCAACTTCTTTACTGAATGAGCTCTACCACACACAAACCTTGAGCAATAGCACCTGTAGTAAAAGTCTAAAAATTTATGTTGTTGGTCTTCTCTAGCAAACTGTCAACATTCTGTGAAGACTATAATAACTGCAACAGAATTACTGCATCTTAATCCATTAGCTCCTCATTTAATTTAGGAATTTTCAGTATTTATTACAAGCATTTTGTGACTGCATGAAATACCATCTGAACTTTAGATGTTACATATGCAGATAAAATAGGTAAGCAAGGAGATACAGGACTAGAGACAAAAATATGTGCAGTAAAGAGATTGTCAAAAATAACAGAGTGAAATGAGGGGATGACTGCAGACATAAATATAAAGTCCAAGTAGTTTTAAGCAGCCTTTAGATATAGCATATCTCAAAATTATCTACAAAGAAAGTTAACTAACTTTTTTTTTAAGTAGATTTATTTCAAGATGTGTGTTTGTAATGTCCATTGAACTGTGCTCAGGCATATTAGGTTTATAATAACAACAACAACTAGCAAGAATGTGGTCTTGTTTCATTTCTTCTCTTTCTATGAGTGCCTTCCTGGTCCCAAGCCAACCAAATTTTATTTTTTTCTCCAAACAAATACTTTTAAGTATCAGCCAAATGTCTTTTGATTTGTTCATAATGAAGTCTGTCATTGAAAACAGTCCAATCTGTTTTATATATAACAATTACACAAATAAAAGGTGGATACTTTCTGTAAAAGATTGATCATAAAATCCCTGTGAAAATAAACTTCATCTTCATAAAATGGTAATACAACTTCAGATGCAAAGCTAAGATTTGTGACTCTACTGAGCAGATGATGTTGCTGTGGATACCAAATGAAAACTGCGAAAGACATGGTCAATGACAAGAAAGCACCATTTGACATAGCAGTAGGCCAGAGAGAGAAAAATCCAAAGTTTAGCCTTCAATTGATAGAGGATGAAAATAATAATAATAATAATAAATAAATAAATAATGTATCAATAGATCACTTAAGTCAGTTGGGGGAAGGAGGGTGCTTATCTTTCCCCAATTTTTTTTCTTTTAAAATGTTTGTCTCATTTTTTTCCTCAGATTCTTGTAGAATGTCATTTAGCATATAATTTGATTACTCCACTTAAAATATACATTAATTTCAATTCTATAAATTTGGATAAGCTCAGTGAATGCCAGAGCCATGCACAGAACAAACAAAACAAAAAATAAAAAGTTTTAGGGCTAAATGACAGTGTCAAAATATTTAAAGCTTGGCTTAAGGAAGATGAAGAAACAGAACTTTATATGTTAATCATGACATTGAGAGCAGCACCCAGAGAAAGGAAGGGAGGGGAGAGTAGTGATGTAATTATGCTAGAAACAGATCATAACTATAGCCTGGCAACATGTGACTTGAAGTAGCCAATCAGTACAGTTGTTGGATACTGTGATTGGCTGATATGACATTCAGCATCTGTAGAAAGCCATCAAAGTTTGATGGGAGTTAGAGAAGAAAATACAGTGGGGGGCTGGGAACAGTTGATTGAAAAGTCAATTATTCTTTGGCATCTTTCTTTGTGGTGGCTTCTCTGAGAGATGAGATCGTTTTCTGGAACCACGTGTTCTTGGAGGCTTGCAACTCAGTGATGGTTGCGTTGAGCTGGTGGGTGAGGTCCTGTGTCTTACACTGTGACTCCACCAACGCCAGCTTGGTCTGAGCCAGCTCCAGTTCCAGCTCACGCACCTGTCGCTCCAGGTCCACAATGGTTGGGTTGATATCCTCAGGATGCAATTTCACATCAGTTATTTTCAGTTTGCCACAATCATCAAACATGTTTCCACAAGTGTCACAAGACTTGACTAAATTCTGCAAGGCAAACATATAGAAAACCAAAATAGCATAAACATAATCTCAAAATTTATTTTTTAGATATAATAATAAAATATTCTAAAAACAAAATACTATATTTATGTACATTAATTGTTTTTAAATTATTCTGTATTATTTTTTGATAATGTATACTTTATATTTTAGCTATAATATATTATTCAATTAATCAAGAAAAGTTCAAATGACTTATTTGGTTTGATAACTCATGAGTTTCACATTGAAACATTCATCAGGTCCAGATGTTTGATGACTATTGAACTTATCAACAGAGTTCATATTTATATTCTTTTTTAACAAACAAATACTAATTTTCAAATTTGAAATTCTTAACATGATCGAGTTTTGTAATTTAAAACCATGCAAAATTCATAAGTTGGCAAACCAGATAAGACACTTGAACTTTTCTTGATCAATTGAATATTATAGCATTAGTTATCTATCATGTGCATTTGACAGAAGTTCTGCTGGCTTGATGACACACATTAAATTCTTGTAATCTTCACATTTTTTTCAGTTGTAATTTCATTGTTATTAATTATTAATATATCATAGTAATGAATTTAAGTGAATATTTTATACTTTTAAATGATTTTTCAGTGTAAAGATATCATTTATAACATTGTCATTAACAACAAATTATTAATAAGATACAATTTTTCAAAAGTATCCTCCTTCCATAAAAAATACCATTGTGTATACTGCATGTAAATAAAGCTTATTGAAATGTGATAACTTTTTTCTTTTTTTTTTATATTTTGGTAACAGTTTTAGAAGTTATTTTCTTCAGAATTAGTAGATTTGTCATCACTCTTACATGACTCATTTTTACAATTTTATTCAAAGTTTCCTCACTATTTTGATTTTTTTCTACAACTAGCAATGCCAACCTCAAATTTGTAGTTTTATTGATCACTGAATAAACTGGAGTTTTCTATTTTAATTGAAATGTCATTAATTACTAGTATAATTATTTTTATATTTTGAATGAAGGTTTTTTAGTTTGTTCTATTTGAAACATGGAGTGAATAGTTAATAAGTTGGATTTATTCTCTACTACACAAAGCTTTGAAATGCACACATTCTTTGATAAAAGGTTACTGATCCGTTAGATTTGAAACTGACCAAATATCTCAAAGTAATGGTACCAGTGAGATAAACCGTTTCCTTACAAGATGACATTTCACATTCAATGACCGAATAGTTAGCATCACTGAGAATTGAAATTTATAGTCTTTCTCTGAAAACAGTCTTTCTCAAAATAAGTTTTGCATGCCCACTAACTGCTATTGCTTTTTCTTGATTAAGTCATTATCCTCTTTTCAATTTACATATGCTATACATTTTAGTTGTAGTTGCTTTTGGAAGTCTTCAAGTGATGTTTTTGTTATTGGGTAAAACTTTTTGTTTGTGATTCTGTAGCACTAGTCTATGATAAAGGAAAGTCTTCTTTAAGACCTACAAGCTTCATTCACTTGAAGCCTTTTTAAATCATTGAGCCAAGAAAACAGTCATACACAGATGATAGTTTAGAAATTTCTGAGCAGTCTAGATGCCATGCATGACATCAATATGAGAGTTCAGATATGAAAAGGCTATTTAAGAGCAGGACTCAAAATTTTAGGTTAATATTTTGATAGATAAAATTCACTGTTGATCACTGAAATTACAAACACACAAGTAGCAACAAGAGGATTGTAATATATGATCATGTAAGCAGAAAAAAAAGTCATTCTTTTTCATGTTGCGATTTGTAAATGTCAAATAACTTGATATTACCTTTATCCGTTGAACTTCTTCCCGAGCTGCAGTCTGCTGCTTTTCTAGACGTTCACTGAGTTGTGAGCAAATCTGTAAAGAAAAAGAGCAAAATAATCAAATGGAAACAAAATTCTTATTTTAATATTCACTTCACAGCTATACACAAATATAGATTAAAAAAAAAAAAAAAAAAAAAAAAAAAAAAAAAAAAGTGCTACAATAAATTCTTATTTACCTGCTTGTAATCTGTAATGATGGCACTATTTCTGTTAATTTCAGTTTCCGTCCTGTCCAATTCTCGCCGACACATTTCTTTCAGCTGAAGAAAAGCAAGAACATCAAATCAATATGTTCATGACTAAATTTTGAAGGTCAGAATTTAATTTTATTTACTTATAAGTTAATTGCTTATTTCCCAGTAAAAATGACTTAACAGATCAATTTTAATCTATTTGGGTAATAGAGCTATAAAATATCTTCCTTTTGTTTTCATCTCATTTGGAATTAAATGTCAATAATTAAAAGATTTTTATTTAAAGTACCAATTTTGAATTTAATGAATCTTTATTGCAAACATTCATTAAATTCAAAATGGAAAGAAAGTAATTTTTTACCAGATACATGAAAATATTCACACAAATTTTCTTTCAAGTTTTGATTTTATATAATTTTTATTAAATATTTAAAAAAAAAAAAAAAAAAAAAAAAAAAAGAGTAAATAAAAAATGTAATTGATATCTAGTATAGGGTATGGAAGTAATACCTCCAACATATACCGCCTACATAATGGTAAGACATTAGCGGCAATGCAATCTTCTTCTAGCTAATGAGGGAAGTATATGTAGGAGGTATTTCTGCCGCACCATGTATTTACATTACTCGATATTCTAAAACAGAAAACTATATTAAGGGCAGTAACTTTCAGACTTATTTATAGATATCAAAGTTATCTCCCTTTACATGAACAGGCAACACTTAATCTGTAATATGCGAGCCATCAACAAAATAATGATGATAAACAATACCGTTTTACAACTAAAAGTAAAAAGAAAAAAATGGGGGCGCATTCCAAAATTTTGATATTGGACGTGGTCTGTTTCCAAGGTTAAAAAGATGTAAGCGATCTGGGGTGCAAACGAAATATTTGTCGCAGATTACTTCCACAAATCACAATGCACGCAACCAGTCAGAAAAATAACTCACTCTCCAACAAACGTGGTAGCCAAAATACCTGAATTGTCCCCCGATTCGAGAACACCAACTGCTTTTATCGGTTGTTCATTTTTTTTCCATTCGTCAACAGTTGGGAGAGAACACTCAATTTTTGCATATCAAAATATTTTTATAGTGACTCCTGTGACAGACTTGTTTTTAATTTGAATATTCTATCTTCAGCATGTCATGTAGAATAGGTGCCCCTTTTTTTTTTGGTAAGTAATTTTCTTTTTCACCACATTTTCCATTGTAGGATACATGCGACACGCTGTCGCTTGGTTTGACAAGGTAAGTCGCCGTTTTCTCCACTATAAAAGAATTACTTTAAATCAAGGTAATCCTTAAACCAGGATCACCTTGCTTTAAACCAATTGATCACTAGTTTTCAAACAAGAGATAAGATTATGAAGACAAACATCCCATTAAGCTACTGTTAAAAATAGCAGAATTTAAGATATTAATATTTAAAAATAAAATGAATTCAAAGGGATACTGACTTAAAACCAAGTCTAAGGAAGTATAAATTTAATGTAAAGAATTTCTTATAATTATAGTTCATTCTTCTGGTATCAATTATATTTTTAACCTGATAACTAGCATATATTTTAATGTATATTCTGACAAACAGTTCAGAGAATTTGACCAGTAAGCATACTTTACCTGCTGTGATTCAAGTTCCAGCCTTTTCTTTTCTTCTTCCAGTTCTATTAACATAGTTTTAGCTTGAGCATAGTCCTTCTCCAACATTTCACATCGTTCTTCAGTCTAATAAAAAGACAAATTTACACGTATACTGATGATACATACACAAGGAATCTTGTTTTATACAATACATAAAATCTTGCCAATACATTAACAAAATTAAAACCTTGAGGTTGATGACATTTTCATTTTCTAGTTTGACATTTCTTTATGAAAAGGTTTTGAGTTATTTAAATAATGTAATTTAAAACTACCATTTTTTTAATTAAACCATTATAGTAAAGTTCTCTAAAGTAAACATGCTATGATTTGATTATGAATTTATATTTTATTTAATTAAAGAACTAAATAAAAGACCAGAACTCATCTTAAAATGCAAACAGGAAAACAAATTTTTATTGTACAACTTTAAAAATATACCTTAAACAAAACAAAAGACAAACCCCTGCAAAAAATAAATAATAAATGAATAAACTATATGACTGCACACAACCACAATTTAATAATAATCAGTAGTAAATAATTAATAAATACAAAATATGGTAAAGTAATTAATAATAAATAAAAGTGATTTAAAAATTAACAACCCTATACAATAACTATAAAATAATCGCTTTCTGACCCATTAGTTTTATTCAATAACCACCAGAATAATTTAAAATAATCATTTGCAATAAATGTTAGACCAACACAATAAACCCGAAATAACTGATCTTGCTACCCATTATCTCCCGATGACTAACAGAAATAGTGAGCTATATAATACAACACACATGGGCTGGAGATTATGTTCATGCATAAAACAGACTTTCAACATTCAGTGTTGACATCTGTGTCTGCACTTGTATTTACAGATGCTTTATCTCGGATATTGAGCACTTTTACTCCATAAATATACCATACCGTAAAACTATGTTTTATTTATTTATATTGCTTATGTTATAAAAAAAAAAAAAAAAAAAATACATGAAATCTTTATAATAAATATGAAAAAATAAATGTATCTGCTTTTTAGCAGTTGTACTTACAACGTCCAGATTGTTCCTGAGGGTCAGTTTGCTAGTGACCAATTCATGTGCCAAGTCATCATTTTCCTGTTCGAGTCGCATGTTTGCTTCTAACAATCGCTTCTTTTCTCTCTGTAAAGTAAATACAAGGAATTATTATGTGTTTTTATTGAGCTTTTGATAAAGCCTATTATAGTAACTATAAATACTAAGCAAACAATGACATCATTTAAAATAAATAAAAAAGAAATTGATATTTATATCAAATAACAGATATGCAAATGGACAGAATAAATTCATATTGCATGAAATAATTTTTCAACAATATGATTTATTTTACTATGTTGATAACAGGAAATCAAGCAAAATTTTAAGAGTTATTTTCAAGTAGTTTTCTAAGTACTGACTTGTGGATGGTGCAAACAAATTTTGTTAGACATCCAGACACTTTGAATATAACAGAACAAGAAAAAAAATCAACTTATTGAACAAGTGAAGTAAAACCTGTATACTCTTTGAAAATGGAAAATAATTTTTTTTTTTTTTTTTTTACCTCAACTCTCTCAATGGGATCTTCCTGTTGCAATTCCTGTTCTTTCAGTGCCAAATATTCTTTTTCATACTTTTTCAATCGTTTTACTGTTACCTAAAATATAACATTATGGTAAATGTTTAGTTGTTGGTTTGCAAAAATGAGTTCAGTATAGAGTTGAAAATAAATTTATTGAAAGACATGTGAATAGTTATCTGCTGTTAAAAAGAAATAAATTATTTTCTACTGGAAAAGAGCAATAATCAGTATATCTAACAAGTAACAAAGCAAAGATCATTATTTTATAAAATCTTTGTCAGTAAAAACACAAAATATAATTCCTAAAAATAATTTTACTTATTTAACAGTAAAATTACTTTTTGTAACAGACTCTTATGTGGATGATTCTCAAAACACTACAATTTTAACTTCAAGTCTAGGAGTGATCATTATCTATTTACCATATCCTCATAACCATCAGTTCCTACTTCCTCCTCTCACATTCCCATTGCACACCTCATTCACTAACCTTAGGATGGCTGTTGGGCCTTGTGTTGGCTAAACTTTAGTAAAACAAATATGAAATAATATCCTTAACACTAAAACTTCAAATTTAACAGTTAAAACATAAAATATATAAATACCCCAAATCTTTAAAAACAAATTACATTTCTGGTTATTTTTCATGCAGAGAAAAAAATCTAACCAATCAGTTTTTATCAATCAATGCTAAGAGAAATATGAATAACATCGACTGTTTAAAAATCCAAAGCTAGTGGTGGTAGTATAGCAAACATCAAATAATTGCTTCTTACCTTCATACCAATTGCAGTCTGAAGCAACTCTTTGGCAGCATCCTCTGAGCGATATCGTTTGGGGAGATGAACTCGGAAATATTTCAAGACACCTTCAAAATCAAGTGCCAGTAGATCTTTCCTTGACATCTTTAAAAGAAGAAGGAAAGTATTAATACAATATTACAGCAGTGAAATTGATTTCTGTCTAATAAGGTAAAAAGTGATTCAAATGATTGTTTTAGACTGTAGTTTATAAAACACAAATATATTAAACAATTTTTTTAAACTAAATTTGAAATATTTAAATTTGATATGTATGACTCATTACACACAATCATTTAAATAATATTGGGATAGAAACATTTTTAGACCAGTTAAAAAATGTTATTTCATTATAATAAAATTAAAAATAGCCTATAAATCTTTCATAAAATTATTTTCAAAAGTAAATTAATTATTTAAAATATTCTTGTGAGTTTTAAGACATAAAAGGATACACAATTTGTTGTGTTTATGATTTATATAATCTATTGCTTTATTTAATCATATACCATTATCTGTACTGTCACTTACCTTGAGTAAAGCAAGGGCAATGTTAAAAATGACATCTTTACCCTAAAAATAAATTGAAAAATAAATATAAATATAGAGGGAAACCTCTATGAACAAACAATACAGAATACTTTCAAATCAATTAATCTGAGCTGAAAATTCAACAGATTTATGCAAATATATAAAGCAATTCTTCTTAAAAGAAGAATTAAGAGGGTTTCCACAAAATTCCAGGAGTATGTTAAGAAGTTGCAAAGACTGAAACTAACACACACACACACACACACACACAAAGTGAATGAGCATCAATTTAAAAAAACACAAATTTTGTGATTTAACTTTTAATAGTCTGACAGATGAAATGTTCAAAGAAAAGCTACAGCTGGTTCTAATAATTCATGTCACATGGATCAGTTGAAAGCATTGAAGAACTACTCAAAGTGTTGAAGGCTAAAACAACTGAATGCAGACTTGGTTATGTTACACATTTTGTGTAGCATTCTACACAATTTGGAGTTCTACTACACTTGAAAATTTTGAATTACTTTAATTCTGCTACACATTTCATCTATCTAGACTACTCATGGTTTGTGAATGTCACAAAAATTCTTGATTGCTGCACATTTCCTATGATGTTAAGTATAATAGTTTTAATGAACAGAACTACAAATAGAAATTTTCACAAAAAGACTACATATTTTAACTACTTCTACTACCCATGGCACAGAAAACAATGATGTTAACATTTTTTTCAGTTCATCTAGTTTAGCATTCAGCTCCTCTTCCAATTTTGATATCTCTATGGACCTTTCCAGATTTTCACATGACATTGGACTTTGCAATAAGTGTGAAATTCTGAGTCTGCTCAGCTTTCTCTGTATAGCTGTCAGCTGACTTGAGCAAATCTAGTGTGCAACTTTCAAGCTTGTGCTTTTTTGGGCTTCACTTCTTCAATTTTCATAAGCATGTTTTTATCCAGCTGCTTCTTTCTGCATTTTTTCCTTTTCAGCCTCAAGGTATCGATTGTATGCTGTTCTGGCATTGGAAACACTGCAGAGAAGAGCCTTAGTCATGGGAATATTTCCAGAACCTCCAACTGTGGCCAAATACTCAGAAATAATGCACTGCGCGACCAGAGTCTGTTTCATATTCTCAGTGAAAATTTCCTTATTGACCAAATCTCTCTCCACTGAGGCCTGTCCATGAGAGAGTACCAGCAATCTCTGAACAACTTTCCACAGCTTTTGATATTCTTTGTTGTTAGACAAAGAAGAGTAAAACAAAGTATCCAGATGATCTTCTTGCTTTTCCTCTTTTCTTGTTGAGTAAGGGTAACAGTTAAAAGACACGCCTTCATATTCTTTCTTGTCACCTAGATGAGAAAATACAGAAGTAACTATGAGGTTATGAACTTGTTCTAATCAAAAAAACAAACCACCATTTGCAACAATTGCTAAATGTTACTGACAGACAAAAAAAAAACATTTTTCTTAAAGGCTTGTCAAAAAGCCAAATTTCAGGGAGTTGTTGGAACTGACAATCCCTTGGGAAGACAATTTGGAACAGGCAGAGCAAAGAAAAGTTGAGAGATATGAAAACCTGATAGACAAATGTGAAGAATGTGGATGGAAGATTGAATTCTACCATCTAACTGTGGAATGTCATGGTTTTGTCAGAAAAGATATTGCTCAGGAGATAAAGAACATGGTAGCAAATCTTCAAGAGACAGCAGAAAAAGCATCACTCTTTATCTGGTTAAAGCATGATGATGACAGTTGGTTGGAGAACAATTGACAGCAGGAAAGACTAGTAGCACCAATCCAAAAGAAGCCTCTACAATAGAGGGGCGCTGCCATAGCAGAATTCAGTAGAGGAAAAGGGATTGAAACTGGCTGTTATGGTTCCTCCTGTTGACTGATTTTGAATTGGGTCCAGAAATGGAGCTGCTAACTGGGAAGCAAAACTTTGTTTATTTTTCCTTCCTTTAGAAAAGATAGTTACAACTTCTTTCAATTTCATCATAAAAGTTAATGCAAATTAGGTAATGACTCAATGTTAGTGCTGTACTAATTTAGGTATAATTTCACATTTATTTACAAAAAGACTGAAAAGATACAAAAATTTACACAAGTAAAACTTTGTATTTTAGTCTTATTTAAAAACTTTAGAGCTTACAGTTACTTCAGAAAAGCTAAATTAAATCCATTAGCTTATCTAAAAAGGATAAACCAAGAGTAAGATATACAAAAGTTATCTAGTCCAAATAATAAATTTCTGTATAATTATTAATATCAAATTTAATGAAAAATAGCTATATTGGATGCAAAAGATTTATGACCATTATAAGCCTAAAAAGATGCAAGTGCAAAACTTTATATTTCCCATCAATATTAATTTAAAATATCTAATAGAACATCTCAAATTCTAATTATGATATAAAATTATTTTAAATAATCGAAATAAACTAATACTTTTATTTTTAATAGTTAAAAATGATTAATAGCTATTTAACCGATTCCATGATGAATATAACAATTTTTTTCATGAAGGCAAATAAATTTTTAAAAATTCGGTTCAGCTTTTGGGTTATCATCAGTTATCAGTAAGTTGCATTCTACCAATGTCGGCCATGATTTTGTAAAATTCTTTAAGCGTGTGACCTTATTAACATAATATGCAAATATTACTCATACAAATATGGCGGCTACTCGCATGAACATTACTCATCATTGCATTACCTCCCTTGAATAATGGAAAAAATTAAGCCCTTAATAAAAGCAAAATAAAATTTATTTATCTGGTAATTTGCTTAAATTGAAAACTCCCTAAGAAAACAAGTTACTAAACATGAAACTTACATTACATATTCATTCAAAAGGTATTATAGTTTACTAATTTTTCCAAACTAAACCAGTAACTGATACTTAACATTTTGTTTAGTTAATTTTTTAAATACATTTTTAAAATACTTTCTCATAACAAATATGTTACACGATGATTATACAAAAAAAAAATAAAAACATTTTGCATTAAATAAATTTTTGCAGAACTTTCTAACAATTTTATGCTGTCAGTTTAATTATAAAATTTGACTTAATACTGCGGCTTTAACTTTATAAATCAACCACACATGTTCTCCAGTTTTGTTTAATTAGATTGTATCATTTTAATGTTTGTGCTTAGAAGACGTAATTTAGTAAAAGCAAAGAGCAATTTAAAAATTTATAATTTTTTTACCTTGTTTAATTAAATATACGAGTTTGCATAACAGTAAAAAATTTGAAGAGTTATTAATGTGCAAGAAATACTCTGAAAATAATGCTTTCTATTTTCATGGATACTATAATAGATACAGAGAATACAATAAGAACTTAGAGTAAGTTTATAGCTACAAAATACTATTTTCCACATAGTCACTACTATTGGTGAGGTAGTTTTGCTAGCTATAAACAAGAACCTGCACACCATACATTTAAAAATTTGCATCAGCAGAGATGACCCACAGATTGCTATTGTCAATGATGAAATACATTTTCCAATGCTTAACTGTGCTCATATCCACTGTTTAGTCTCTGTAAACGTTCAGCAAACATCAAATGGTGCAATATTTTCCCCCATTGGATGAATTCAGTGATACACATCTGCTTCTTATATACATTCATATTAAATGCCATTTTGCCAAATTGCTGTTCCACTGCTATCTGTAACAAGGCAAAATAAATTACACATTGTTGGTGAGAACATTCAGTCTTTGACATACAAGCAACATTCACCTCTGAGCCAACATAATAAAATAGAAGGCATGAGCAACCCTTGTAATTGAAGTATTCATGTCCTGTTAACATAGGAAAGATTAATAGAAAACTTACTTACCTCACTAAGATAAAGATCAAGTACATGGAATACCATATGAAGTGGGAATTTAGCAGTAAATAAAGTGAGGAACCACTGAGAGGCAAACATGTGGGCTTCCAAACCCATTTCCATAAAGTGTGTATACAGATCTGGAAGCAAATCCTATAAGTAAGAGAAAAAGAAAGATATTGATGCATGATCTTATTTTGCAGGCAATTACGATTCAATCTGAAAACTGAATAAAGAAAAATTAATCAGTAGTTATTTTGGAATACTTCATTGTTAGAAACTATTAATACTTAGTTTCTTCATATAAACACTATTCTAAACATACATTGTGAACATTGTTGGGCCTCATAGAAAAGAACTTATAATTCAAATACATTAGTGCATGAAAACATGAATACTACCAATTGTAAAAAGGATTATATTTCTATGGAATATTTTCAACTACATTTGACTGTGTTAGATAACACATAATAAAATGAGTGACCATAACAATATCTACAACAAAAATAAGAGAATATATTAATATTTTGACAAATTATTTTATTTTATTATTTAGAGTCTACTTTTTTGTGCATAACAATTCATATTTTACATTTATTTTTACAAAATGTATATATTGTCAATATTTTTTTCAACTTAATAAAGCCTAAATATAGGGTCAAAATTAAAAATGAATTCTTGAAATGAGACCACTTTAAGAAACCAGTTATGAATTGAACTTTTAGCAAAATAAGTGATCTCTATTTTCTGTACATAGGTAAATCATTTAAAAATTCAATAGTTAATATTATTACAATTTTTGATAATAGAAAATAAAATTGTTTTAAAATCAGAGTTCATAAAGAATAATCCCAATTTTATTCTAATCTCTTATTGTTATCTTGAACAGAAAAAAAAAGTAAAGGTGTAATTATTGCTTACATGCATAAACCTCTGAATTTGATAGAATTTGAGATGCAATTCTTCAAACCCTTGCTTGAACAAATCTCGCAGACCATAATCAAACATAATTTTTACAAGTACACAGAAGGCTTGCTCTTCTGGCATCTGCAGAGAAAAAGAAATAAAATTCAATTATTATTAAAACCAAAATAGTATTAAAATATATTAAATTTAGGATGCTTGATTTGAGAAGCACTTTATATATATATATATATATATATATATATATATATATATATATATATATGTGTGTGTATGTGAGTATAACATGTCACTATAATGGATAATATTAAAAAAAAAATTTTTAAATTAAACTTACATGTAATAATAATGCAGCAGCAAGAAAAGACAATCCTTGACAGTAACCAACCTCCTCATCATACACTGAATATGCCTGCAAAAAATTACTTCCAGATATCAACTTACAATTGAAAAGTTATAAAAAGCATGTGATAATAGCAATGATGTCATCATCACAATTGCAACCTTTACTAACAGTGGTTTCTATCTGGTTAATGTGGTAATTTTTTTAGAAAAAAAAAAAAATGTCTAAAAAAATGTTTACATAAGTTACCATATTTGAGAAAGAAAATTTAATAATTCAACTGATCTGCATTTGATTTTTTTACTAGTTATTTCATAACATTTACATAGGAAATTGAAGATTAAAATTTTCTTCAATTCGAAGCTCATTTTTCTCCACAGTATCAGAATCACAAAAAACTCATATTAAAATTAAAAACAAACTTAATATAGATTATTATGCTTGTAAAAATGTTATTGGACATGAAATAAAATATAAGGAGATCAAAAATAAAATAAAAATAAAAAATATACTAGAAAAAACACAGATAAAAGTATGAGAACTGATCTAAAAGGACTGTATGAAATTAAAATAATAACACATCTCAACATTATAAATACCACTTTTCTTTAAAGATTTGATTTTTGTAGATTACATAATAGTTAAATGCTTATTAATTATAATTTTATAAAAAAACTATTTAACAAACACAAAAAATTATGAACCTAGATTGCTTGACGATAAGATGATAGACTCTCGATCAAGTCTGAACAAACACTCAAAGCTTAAGCAAATGTTTAACCCTAAACTAACTATACAGTTCAATCATTTACATAGTTTGTCCCAGTTCCTTATACCTATTAACATAAAGATAATTATAGGTTAAGAGAAGCATAGAAAAGCAAGACAAAAATAAAAGCAAAGAAACAATTCAATTACCTTGCTGATTTTATGCAAGGAATCTTGACCAACACCACCTGACTCTTTAAAGAAATCATGAGCTGGGAAAGTTCTGTTGATATCACGCAAAATAACCTGCTCATTTGGAGACTCCTACAAAATAAAATATTGTTAAATCATGACATTTTGTCTTTTTCATTATAGTATCTTTTATTTTTCAAAGAGAAGCCACTTTTATCTTCAGTCATATCTCCTGCACTAAATCCTTATTACATGACTATATATTAATGAAATCATAAAAATAGTTATTCACTTGTATTATGGTTGGGTAGCCTAATTACCTTTGTGATTAGGATCCTGTAAGCCTCAAGCAGTTCAGTGTTGTTATCACAGCCAGCCAGCAGCTGCCACACTTCTCCACGCAATGCTTCAGGGATACCTTTACGGGCTAAAGTAGACACTTGTTTGGGACGCATGGATAAATTCTGGTGCCACTTGGTGAGCACATCATGCCATGCTTCCAAAGTATTCTCATCCTTTACATCTTTGCTCACAGAACCAGAGCCACTGAGCAGAGGTTCATCCCCATCTGAAACAGAAATGATAATCATCAGAGCAAAAAGTTTTCTTTATTTTATAAAATAAAAAATAAAACAGTAAAAATTTCATAAAATATTATACAAAGGAATAAAATGCACACAACCCTATGAACAGTAAAAAGATTTACTTAGTCAATTGAAAAGCACTTTCCAAGGAGAAAAGAAAAAAAAATTGATAAAGTTATTACTGATGGTAAGGTTATAGGAATGGAAAATTATTCTAAAAACTATAATATAGTAAATTAGTAAACCCAACTTAAAAATAGTTCCAGGGATTGAGGTATTAAAACAAGAATTTTTCCTTTTTTCATTTTGAAAATTAAAATAAAATTTTTTTTAACCTTAAAAATTAGATATACAGTGGGGGCGAAACAAATATTGATACACATACAAATTTTTAATTTATTTTATTTCCAACTAATGAATAAACATACTTTTCATATAATTAACTGTACACAGATGCATAATAACTAAATATGCATAGAAAACAGAAAATTTTTTTTTGATTTAATAGAAATAAATCCCACATTCATTTTAATGCGTGAAAAAAGTATTCGTACAATGCAAATTTCAGATTTAAAAATTTTAAATTGCCTTAATGCTCTAGATTATTCAAGTGGAATATTCTAGAATGTCCCAATAATGTTATCAGTAGTTATTTTTAGCCTAAAAAATACAAACATAACATTCTGTAATTGATATTCATGCTAGAATGTTATCATTATTGCAAGAGATAAAGAACTGACAAATTCACAAAAAGAACTGATTGTTAAGCTCTGGAAAGAAGATAATAGTTACAGGAAAATCTCATAACCTGAATATTGCATTTACTATCATTAGTTCAATCATTGCAGGGTATAAAAAACTCAAAACTTTTGAAAATCAAAGAATAACAGGTGCTTCACAGAAGATTTCTTCAAGATCTTCAAGGAAAAAAATGCGTCAAATTAAACCAAATCCAATGATTACTTGTCAAGAGTTGCAGGATGATTTGATTTCATTATGAATCTGTGTCACTAAACAGACAATAAGCAATGGAATTCATAGGAACAATCTAAAATTGCGCTCCCCTCGGAAACTTCCACTGCTATTGAAAAGACACAGAGATGCCAGGTGGAAATTCGTTTGTGAACATAAGCATAGGGAAAAATTGTATTGGGAAAGAGTATTATGGACAGACAAAACCAAAATTGAGTTATTTGGATGTAATTCTAGAAATGATGTATGGAGGAAAGATGGTGATGCTTTCAAACAAAAGAACACAGTTCCAACATTGACATTTGGTGATGGCAGCATCATGGTTTAGGGATGTTTATACATTACTTGGAAATATAATAAATTAAAAAATTTATGTGTACAAATAATTGTTTTCCCCTCACTGTAATTTAAGAACACTTTATAATATAGTGCTAAAAATGACAGGTTTTATAAAATATAAAATTCAAAGCCAAATATTCTTTATGTAACAATTATTAAAGGATGGACCAACATTAAAAGAAAAAATCTTGATAATTACCATAAAAAATAAAAATATATATATATATATATATATATATATATATATATATATATATATATATAAATAACAAATCTGAATATCTATATTTTTTAAGCTACTAAAATTTGGTCTGTAAAATTTATGCCAATTGGCATAAAATTCTAAACATTTAAGAATTAAAAAGAAATATGATATTATATATCAAAATCTTAAAGAACAAGTTTCATTTCAAAAACAATGTAGTTACATGTCCGTCCATGTTAACCTAAGAAAAAAAAAAGTGTTTTCAATATTTTTTAACACAAAAAATAGCAGGTTTAATAAGAATGTGTGCTTACCAGATTCTTCTTCAGGTTCCTGTGGAGTCTGAATATCTTCTTGGAGCTGTTTGTTAACAGGGAGACCGAGACCAAGGCCAGCCTTCTTCCGATCTATGTCTGTTTGACTTTCCACACTGACCACTTCATAGTTAGAGTCACAAGGTAGTGCTCCATCCACCTGCAAAAGAAAAATGAGGAAAATGTTGCATTATAACAGGCAGACAGTTTAGAGAAAGTCAAGTCTCCAACCATTAAGTGTTGTGAACAGGATGAAAGAAAAGTGGAAGAAAAATGGTATACAAAAAATTTATATATATATATATATATATATATATATATATATATCATACAGAATGATTATATATATCAAGAGAGAGAGAAGAAAATTCAATCTGTTTATAGCAACATGTGTTTGTGTGTATGCAAGTGAATTAACAGACAAAGCTGACATTTGCATTTGGGTAGACAAATGTGACCAGCAGGTGTTTATGATGTGAAAGAAAGAAAGAGTAAGTAAATGTATACCTGTAAGACGTTTATACAGGCTGTAGACATATCCAAATCAGTAGAAAGCTATACATTCAGAGCATACACAAACACCTAATTGCCATTAATAGAAGATGAAGCATCAATTGTTTAGTTGTAAAATGGTGGAAGGCACAGGCAGCAGGACAATTGAGGCAAATGTTAAAGCAATAACAGCAGTGACCGTAATTAGTCTCCTGTAAGTAGCAACAATGTGGAATACTAGTGTTCATTGATAGTACTAATATTGATTTTTGGTTTTTGTTGATTTTAATCCTGGGTTATGCACTTTGTATTATGTTCTTTTCAGCAGGTTTAAGAAAGTTATAAAGCAGAGTAAATGAGAGATAAAAAAAAACATATTAAGAAAAGATTTTATAAAAATCTATTAACCTTTTCATTTCTTTAAATCTACATGAGCAAACTAGAATTACACATGTCAAGGCTCCAAAGACAAATCAATTGTTATTTCATAGTAAATAAATAATGAAAGGTTTTTTTGTGGATTGATTAAGTAAGAGGGAAGAGATGTTAACTAAATGGAGAGTTACAACATAAAAGAAGTCAGTCAAATGCCACAAGTAGTAATAGTAGATAATTATTGTTGATTTCTGACTATTGGGAACAATAGTAAAGCTAAAAGGAAGCACATGGTCATTAGATCCTTTAAAAATGGAGGTGTAAAGTTTTGTTGAGTAGATACTGTTAAATCTCCCAACTATTTAGTCTTTTGAGAATATAGCAAGATAGAAGCAATAAGAACTGGATTATAAAATGAAAAATCATTGTAGAAATTCATTATTCATTAAAAATAAATCTCAGATTTTCTAAGCAAAATTCCCTTGAATAATTTTAAAGTTGTTACAAAAAATGAACAGTGAAAAAAATCATTTTGTACAGAGAATTGGGAATGATTAGAAAAGAGAGAGAAAACAATGTTTTCTTTTTGAAAAAAACAGAGTAAGAAAGAAAAAGTTACTATGTAAAAAAAGCAAGTATGAGTGAAGATACCCAAAGAAGATAATTGGCTCAATAAAACAGAGAAAATATACACAAGGTAAGAAAAGGCAGAAGTAAAATGATTTCCATGAAGAATCATAAGAATAAAAATATTATTTATGTTAGAAAGAATAGCAATGAATAATAGAGAGGAACAATGAAATTTGAGTTTCTGTCTTTACAAATCTGTTATCATAGTCTAAAATTATTTTATTTTGAAAAACCCAGCAATTATATTGTTGCATATTGTGCAGAAAAGACAATTTACAAGGAATAATGGTATATTCTAATGAATCAATATATTTTTTTACTGCTTTTAAGAAAGAGAGAAAGAAAGAGAAAGAGAAATGCTGCTGCTGATGATGAGATTTTATAGAACAAATAAAACACCAAAAGACTGAAGCTGAATAAAGAGGTTAGAAAGAGCAGACAAGGGATGATGCAGGGGTGCAGTTGGAAGAGTTGGGATAGAGAGATGCATGAATTCAACACAAGTCATTTCTGTTATTATGAAACAAAGAAGTATCAGATATTTGTGAACATGATGGTTTGGACTGTACACTCATCCTACAATGAAGTGATGGTATTAAAACTTATTAAACATTTGATAAAAGAATACAACCATTCTAACATGAAGTTGAAATCTATTATTTATACCTGCAAATTATTTTTAATCTATGTACAAGTCTATAAATTTAACACATATAATAATAATAATAATGATACATCTACATAATAAACCTCTTCCTCTGTTCCTACTGTGCCTATATAAATGACAGTCTTGGAAGATTATGAAATAATGTTGTCTGATTAAACATGAACTTCCATAAGGATGAGTGCGCAATCAAAAACTTAGTTTAACAAATGTTCATCATTATTTGGTGGTAGATGTTGATCATTAATAGAAGAAGCAGTCCATGCACAAGAGAGAGAGAGAGAGAGGAAATGTGAAATATGACAAAAATGCATCAGATACAAGACAACAATACACAAGTTGAAAAAGTTGACAAAGAAGTTAAAGAACAGTTTCCATTTTCAAATTGAACAACATAAAAAGAAACAAAGACTAGTCATGATATTCTTGTAAAACAACAAAAAAAAATTGTTAAAAATGTCTTCAAATTAGAGTGATGAGAATTTTGATACTTTTGGTATTATTTTCATTGATGAAAATTTTAACTAAAGTTTGTCTTATGTAAGTTCTAAAGATCTTATATAATTAATAAAAAGAAACTAATAAACCCAATACCAAATTAGTTCTAGATGATAGCGTCATTAAAAGGCACAAGCATCACACATTTTTAATTCATTTTTGTATTTTAAAAAGCAAAAAGAATCAAAGTTCTGTAACAGACTTCTATATACACATTTTTAAAGTTTTAAAAGACCTAGAAAACTATGACCCTATTCATTGAATGAGGGAAAGAAAAAGAAAGAGATAAAGGAGAATCTCACTTTAAAGTACCCAAGCAAAAGCAAATTGATAATACCTTGAAATAGAATATAATATTAAAGCAGCTTAAAAAAATTGTAACATACCCATGTCTAATCTGTTTACAAATCATTAGAATTAGACCAATAACTCTGTGGGTTTGTGAAACATTTTATTATAACTGATCATATTGCCAGCTTAAATAAAAAAAAGACTAATGATGAAAGACAAGAATCAGAAAATACAGCCATAACAATACATAGATTTACTGATGGAGAAAATATGTACATAACTTATTCAACTTTATTATTAATAATAAATAATTCAATGGAATGATGTAAAATTTGAACAAAAATATATCAATATAAAATAGAGTCTGAACAAAAGAAAAAAAAGCAAAAAACTGATGCAGAATGAAAGACTCCAAACGCTCATTACTTCTTTTCACTTATGTGAAAACAAAATATTTTTATCAAAATAAAATAATTACTATTAGAAAAGTTAATATCTAAAATAGGAAACACTATTTAATAAAATTAGCATAAATTTTAGTAAGTTTTGTTAAGACTAATGAGCTTAATGGTTTTAGCTAGTCCAAATATACTGGGAATTAAAGAAAAAACAGCAAATAATGCATCACAATAAAAAATGTAGGTTGTTCAAATGTTTTAAATTTAAATCACACTTCTCTCAACAAAATGATTTTTTTTAGAAGAGATCTTAAAAACAAAAAAGTTATCTCTTGAAAGATTCCAATATTGTTATTTGCTATGTACATCTCTTGTAATTCACAAGTCAAATGTTTCTAATGTAATTATTTTAAAGTAACAAAAATTACTTTCATATGATTGTATTAACTAAAAAACCAACTGAAACCAAGATAAGTTTGATTAAAGGATTACTACAGAATTATATATATATATATATATATATATATATATATATATATACACACTCTTAAGTTGTGCTATATTTATGGCATAAAGTGCTCAATATCAGAGAGAGCGTGTGTAAATATAGAAGTGAACATTGAAGTTAGCACTTAGAGGCGACAGGCTGTTTAATGCTAGACGCAATCGTCAGGCCATGAGTGTTGTTTTTCTTTTTTCCGCTATTTATATATATGGGTCAGTGGTGCATTGTGGGTAGTCTATTTTGGAGTTATTTTGCCGGAAGTCATTCATTTATTTGGGTTAAATTATTTTAATTTATTTTATTATTCATTATACTGCATATTTTTATTTACTCTTTTTGGTTTTCGATTTTTAAGTAACATAAGTTTTTTTTTTTTTATTGTTATATAACAGTTATAGCTATGTTTTTCATCCAACTTTTCGTTTGATTTTTATAGTCTAACTAATATTTTGGTCATAATGGTTTGTTTATTTACTTTATTTGGGTTCATTGATTTTGCTTTTTATTTATTTATTCTATTTCGTCTATTCTAACGGGTGTGACAGACCACCCACAATGCACCACTGACCTATATATATATATATATATATATAAATAGCGGAGAAAAGAAAATCAACACTCATAGCCTGACAATTGCATCTAGCATGAAACAGCCTGTCACCTCTAAGTGTTGACTTCAATGTTCATTTATATATATATATATATAAAAATGAGACTCAAGATTTATTGTAACACATATTTCATAATAGCTCACAATATATAAGCAAATACCAATTTAACATCCTATATATAAAATTTGGAAAGTAAAGAAAAGTATATTACTATGTTCAACCTTATAAAATTTGCTTATATATAATGACTTTTTACAGATTAAAACCTTTAAGTATATGAAATCAATTTGTTACAATAAAAATAATTTTTGTCTGAAATTTTTAGATGAGGAATTATTATACACAAATTAGTCCCCTCATCTTTGTTTTTATAGTCATATTTCAACCATAAGTACCTTCCAGACTTCTTCCTACAGAATACATGGTCTAGTGAATGAAACCATTAGTCAAGGAATTGAGTTACTTGGTATTCATGAGTTCAAGCACTGTATCAGGTAGTGCAGTCATATACTCAAGTTCAGTGGAAGAGACAATTGATATCACAAGGATAACAAGATGGAATTAACCAATATATCTTCTTGCAAATACAGCAGAATGAGAACAATCTAATCCCTGTAGATTAAATAAAGGGCACAGCTCAAAATGTCTAAAAGTTTATCAACTATACCTGAAGAAGACCAAATGTATAACAACTGAAAGATGACAACCAAGATGAGGATATCAGTTTGAACAAGTCAGCATATGATTTATTTAACCTCAAAACAAATGATAAGCCATAGAAATATTTGAAAAATACCACTAGAAAAAAAAAATTCCAATTCTTAATGTTTAATGGATTTTGAATATAAAACTATAATACAGCTAATTAGTTAAAAACAACTATAATACAGACAATTAGTTAAAAACAACATCTTTCTTGTGCATTTTGGCAAGCCAAAGGTAAGGTTAAGTTGAAAATAGTTCTTAAAAAATTGTTACTAGTAAGTGGAAAGGCTGCAGTTGATTCAATAGTAAAAAAAATAAATGAACAGAAATTTATGCAATTTTCAGATTTAAATTTAGATCTCAATCCATCAAACTTAAAACTACTTAAATTCAGGTTTTTGTGTAAAAGCAAAAATAAAATTGTCTAATCAGAAATTATGTTAGTACAAAAATGAAATAAAATTAATTCAGATTTAAGAAAGAAAAAAAAGCATCAGTAGATATACTGTAATTAGAAAAATGTACAAGTTTCATCCAACATGTATTGAATTTAAAAAGAGTATCATAATTAGAGAAATAATTTACATATATCTTTCATGAATTTTAATTACTGGCCTTCATATGATTTATTAAGAGCCAGATTCTTTTTGATTATTAAAGTCTATTAAAGATCTTGCAATAAATTAGGCCATACTTTTTCAACATGTGCAGAGTTAAAGAACAGCGCTTTTAGAAGTTTTGTGTAAATGAATGAAATGGAAAAGGATAAAAAAAAAAAAAAAAAAGATTAGGTAAAGAGAGTAAACTTCTATAATATATAAAATTAGAATTTATGGTAATTTTGGAATAAGGACTTTTTACTCAGTCTTTATCTTAAATCTATTGTTTGAATTCTGAATATTTTGATTTGTTCAGTTTTAAATTTTCATTGCTGAGCTCAACTGTTATAAAATTTTTATCAACAACCATGAAACTGAGACATCTAGGTGCCAATTCACTGTAAACTAGTAAATCTATTAAGCTTATCTTTTGGAATTTGATTTTATAATATTTTTAATATGTTCCCAGAGGACATGGCATTTATGTTATTATAACATAAATTTGGATTATCAACATCAAATACTGCAAGCAGTTTCCATTTCATTTTGACAAAGCTTCACTTTCCTTTAACAAGTATACTGTTAACATAAATTACATTTTGTCAATTCTTGAAGACTTTCAGATGTATTTTGGTTTCAGATTTAAAGAAAAATAATTACAGAACAAATCAAACTAAGTATAAAATTCAAACTTGCAAAAATGAACATAACAATCCAAATTTTCTCTACAGTTTTTATTTTTTAATCTCTTAATTCCAAAAATGTGATGTAAATAACTAATTAGATATTAGTGACATGATGACTAAAATAATTTGGATGAGGGCATGATGGAATATGGTTTCATCCTTTTACTGTGAAATTTTTCAGAAACATTAAATAGATAAGTAGTAGTCAAGTATGTGTATCAACATCAGTTACAACATGAATGAGAAAGTTGTGCAGAGGAATAAGCATTTTTAGCTGGACTTACCTCCTGACATGTCCACTCTGGATCCTAGCATAAGAATAAGAGAAAGAGAATGAATTTTACCTTTCCAAGGAAAGTGCACTACTGCACAGTTAATATTATAGAAGAGAGAGCCTTAATGAAATATAGCCTATATCTTTAGGGAAATAATTAAGGAGTTAAACAGTCTTAAAACTACTAGATATTGTTATACTTATGAGGCATAAAGAAATGGGCCAGGTTTCAGAAATGTTCTTGCATACTTATTTCCTATTTCAATAAGTCAACAAAGGAGAAATCAGTCAAACATGGATTGTTTTTTAGCCAACTCAAAACACATGATAGAAGGCACCTGTCTAGCTTAAACTTTCTCTCTTTCCTTACAAGTAATGTCTACAGAGATCCAATATTATTGGCGAAAAGTTAAAGACAATGTCTTCAACTAAATGACGAAACTTATTAATGTTTGGCTTTCAAGAAAATCTCTGAAATTAGAAGATAACCATAATCTACTTTGTAAAAAAAAATGTTTAAAATTAAAACATTACTGATATGTAACTACAATTTTTTTTTTTATTATTTACTAACTCAAGAATAAACTAATTGCTAAAAATTGGTTTATATTTGGTACTACAACTAATACCAACTCTTCCTACTAACAAACTTATTTAGTAATAAAAAAAAAATACATAAAGATTGCTAACACTAGAGTTTATTTATTAATTCTTATATATAAACCAGAATAGAGAAAACCTTAAATATGCAAATCTATGAGGGATGGTAGAGTTGATAGTAGAATATTCCATTAAAAAAAAAATACATATGAAAAACAGATGAACAACTAAAAATTATAGTTTAGAAGAGAGATTTCTTTTCGTTCTCTTCCATCAAAGTTACCTGTTTCAGCTTGAGATGAAACTGTTCAACCTGAGGTTTTTTGGTGAAATACCAAAAGCGTTCACATTGAGGGAAAATCTTAGCTTTGGTTTCAATAGCAAATCGAACAGGTTCTTGGATACCACAAATGACCAAATCAACAGCAATAGTAAGGAATACTCGGGTATCTAAATAAATAAATAAATAAAATGCTTTTTATCATTAAAAGAATTTTTGCTGAAAAGAAACTAAAAAGTGCAGTAAAAAAGCTTTTATAATTTTGTTTTTTTTCTATTATGTTTGTATGTGGAAGCATTGAAAAGTTCTTAACCCATCCACGCCACTTAGTATTCTAATGTGTGATCATTGAAATACTGATTTGGCAGTGGGGAGAGAAAGAAAAAAATGAAGGAGACAGAAATTTGCCCACATAACTCATTTCATATAGGTTAAATCATGGAGCAAGAAGTATTGCTGAATAGTTAATTAGCATAAGGTCTATCTTGCATACAAAAAGCATTTAACAATTAGAGCAATGGAGAGAAAGTTCAATTTTCAAACAGATAAGATTCATAAATGATAATTTATCTCTAAGAAGAAAATATAAACACCTTCTGGTAATCAGATAGGAATAAATCTGTAAAATGTTTTATAAACACTTTATGGGGAACAGTCAATAAACTGATCCAATAACTGAAAATATACAATTGTTAATAATAATTTTGTTTTTTTGTCATAGAAAGTATTATAATTTTTTTTTATTTTAATTATATAATACTTCAAATAATTTACAAGCAATAATTAAAGCTTATAGGATAAGATGTACAGCATATAAAATGAACTAAAACTGCTATATTTATTGATAATTTATGTAAAATCACAACATCAGAAAAGAAAAAACAAATTGAAGAAGCAAATTTCCATGGGTCAAATAAATCAGAATACAAGTTACAAAAGCAGACTATGTATTTTCAAGGTATGAAAAAATGACTATAAGAATGGTTTATATGAAGTAATTTCAGTTAAAAAAATATTTCATCTTAATTTATATAACATTTTTTCTTTTGACAAAATTTTGAAAAAGGTGCACTTTAAAATTTGAGCTATTATAATTAATACCAAAATACCAAGCTATACACAATAAACATTTGTAAGGTTCACAAGTCTTGGTTTGAAAACACATCAACAGAGAAAAAAAAATCAAATAATACTAATGAAAATATTATCTATAATGATACTTATATTAATGCTCAATAACTGCCACAGGAAAATATAAATTCAACATGCACCTCATTCATAGATTACAAATGAAAAAAAAGTTGCTTTAGCAAAATTTTACAATCCTTGTACAGTTAAACAAGGTTTAAAATTCTTTCCCAGCTAGTTATATAAACCAATATAAAATTATCTACAGACTGATCACTTACCTTTCTCTGTTTCAGAATTGAGCACAGCAAAACTTGGCTCAGTGGGGTCCCAATGACCAGAAATTATATAACTTTTTCCATCGCTACTTGAACCCATGGATTCCTAAGAAAAAAAAAATCTATTAAGATAAAGATAAACTGAAAATAATATTCAGCCCAAACTCTTCCAAATATATAAAGAAAAACCAATAAAATTAACTTTAAAGCAGGGACCTCGGCTAAATTTCGGATACCTAAGGTTTAAAATGAATTTTTAAAAATGAAAAAGCATTCTTGAAGCTTTCTTTTTAGCTTTAATTGAAAGCTAAATGATTAAATTCGCTATTTCCAGTAAGCAAAATACTATGGTGCATTTCAAATAGAAATTATACTGATTGGAATCTCAACTTTTTGGTCACTTTCAGAAAATCAATAAAAATTGATAAATATTAGCCATTTTGACATATTTTTAAGCAAAAGTTAATTTCCGGTTTTAAAATCCTTCCAAAAATAAAATATATATTTGTGACATTTTGTTTGGGGAAAATTAGCAAATTTAAATTAATCTGATTTGAAACACATTACTTACTTATAGTCTAAAACATAGTATACAAGCATTTCTTAAACACAGGGTTTTGTTTTTCTGACATGCTGATTGATTTATTGGTAGCCTAAAGTGTTGACAGCTAAGTATGTTTGACCAGAAATTGACATAAATTTACGAAATCTAAGTGAATGCTTTGTTTTTTGGTTTTTAACTACCTAGTAATTTTTTAAATTAACATATTTTCAGCAATTATCTAATATTTTAGTTACTTATATATTTATTTATAGCCTTATATTTTTATCAAAATAACTTACAAAGAATAAACTTAAAAAAGTAAAAAACTACTAACAAAAAAACATTTTTATGAAATAGGAGTTAAAAAATAATTTGAAAAGAGATTTCAAAATGACACACAAATTAAAAAATAACTTCAAATAGAAATTGAAAAAGTTAATTTAAGTTAAAGTAAAAATTATTTTTAGTAGAATTATATTGGTTTCATCTCCAGGTTCTTTCTTTAAGTGAAACTAAAAAAAAAAATTACTTAATTGAAGTATGACACACACTAAAATAAATACATATAATAAAAAATATTTAATGAAATAGAAATTAAAGAAAATAAAAAATTACTTTAAATTTTAAAGTTTAAAATTTTGAAGGGATGATTTGCAAAGCCTGTTGAGACATAAACACAATGAAACACAGAAATGAAAATGAAAAGATTGCAGACGGACAAATTTTTAGAGAGGACAACTCTTAAAATACATGATGGACATCCATACTTAAGAAAATGGGAATGTTTCTACACTAAAAAATAAAAATTAAAAATTATTTTAAAAATAGTGGGGATAAATGACTTTTAATCTTTTCAATTTTTGATTCATAAATATAGTTTCCACTTAATAACCATATGATCTAACTAGATTGAAGTAATGCAGAATTTTAAACAATTTAAATTGTTATAATTAAAATTTTAAAAAAATGAAAACAATTCTTGTAAAAATTCATTATTCATCAAAAACAATTTTTTTCTTAAGACAATAGTGTCCTTAATAAATCTTATTTATAAAAGCAATTAAAAGCTTTTCTAATTAAACGATGTCATAGTTTCATTGCATTTTTTATTTTACAATTCAGAGCAGATTTTCAGTAACTGGGGTTCTGTTTTACAAAAACACTGATGATTCAAATTCTCCAAGGAGTCCTGTTATTAACAAATTTTGAGATTGCAATTTAATTTCTTGAAAATTCATGATATCAAGTAAGTGGGGGTAATATATATATATATATATATGTTTATACATTCTTTTTATAGATACAAATAAATATATCTTAAAATAATTGTCGAACTTTGTCCATTTCATAATGTGTGTGTGTGTGTGTGTCAAAAAAATTTTCTAAAATGATTTCATTCATTTTTTAAATAAGTCCTGAAAGTTTCATTAAAATCTGACAATTATTTGATTTTTGTGAGAATTTGCAAGTCAATGTGTTTTTCACCTGAATTAAAAAAAAAAAAAAAAAGACGCAAAAACACTAATAATAAACATTATGTAGACTGCTGATGTAAAAAACAAAAAATAGAAAAAAAAAAAAGATTTTTTAACCAAAATTTTAAATGTGCTAGGAAGGATTAAAAAAAATTTAATAAAATAGTAAAAAACAATACTTTGGTCTTTCCTCTTAATAATAAGAAACATTTTGATGATAAAACTTTGTTTTTATCAAGTTTGGGGTCTTTTTTCATCATGCTATGCTGTTTTTTCAGTGAGCAAGTGAAGGTACCTACTTTAAAGACTTAAATGTAGAGTAAACTTGCAACATCTCTGGCCAATAATAATAATAATAATAAAATACAACAGGTTTCTCGTTTTTCAAGATCTCCAACAAATGGTGTATTTTTTTTTAACAGTGTGATTCACTCTGTACAAGGTCCAGAGGTCATTCATGGTAAAGGGGTTACAGAGTAAAAAGCATATTTTATGTGGATAGGTGGGGAAGATAATGGTTAATCCTAGACTTGAATAGGCTAAGATTGCAGTGATTGGGGAAATATCTGAATTTGTTTTAAAAATATTCTAAACATGAAATCAGTTAAGTTAAACTTACAAACTGATTAAAAATCATAAATGGGGTTATTCCTTGCCCACAAAGTTTGAATGATAATTGTAAAGAAATAGTTGGAAAGTGTATGAAATTAAGGGGGGTGAGGTTAAAAAATTTTTTTAAAATCACCATTTCTATGAGTTGCATATCACCATGTTTCACGTTTCTACCAGGAGACAGCAACAAACCAAAACATCTAAAAAAAAAAAAAAAAAAAAAAAAAAAGTGGTATGAATCTAATATAATAGAATTGTAATTCCAATTCGAATAAAAAGTTAATGAAAAGCTATGAAAATCAACATACAATAATCTTATTTAAAACTCATTGATAAAGAAATAGCTATATTGGATAAAAACTAAACAAAAGTCCCTTGATGGAAATATAATAAAAGTATTTGCTACAATTGCAGATAAAATTATTTAATCAATGTCAGTGGAAAGTAAATTAAGACAAAATTTTTTAAAATATTTTTAACATCTTTTTGGAGCAGTAAAATCTACAATTGCAGAAGAAATATTATATATTCAAAATCACATTTCCACAAGAGAAATTTTAAGAGTTGTGGACAAAAATTGTTACTCTAGTATTCTAGAGTGAAGTGATATCATTTTATTTTTAATTGACTGTTCCAGAAAGGAGTTGTTAAACATTTTTATCAGAATAGCTGCCAAAAGCTTTGTTGGAAACAATTATATTCACAATTGAATTTGAGAGAATTCTATATAAATGAGGCCAATTAAAATTATCTGGCTTTCTTCATGATAACATTTAAAAATAATTAGAGATTATTTGTAAAGTTGTGAAAATCTTTGGAATTTAATACAGAATATATCCTAAATATTACATTGTAATTACATTAAAAAAAAGAAAGAAAAAGGTTTAACTCCTGATATACTCAACTAACCCAAGCTATAACTGATTTTCATTACAAAACTGACCTTTGTTGCTTCTCAGTAATTGAGATAATTGATAGTATTCAAAGATTTTTACTTTATTATGTTAACTAAAAATAAAATTTTCAGAAAATATTTTATAAAATCAAATTTTAGGCTTTCATAAAAAGCTATTAGGATTTATATTTTTGAAAAAATACATCACCCTTAAGTAAAAGAAAAATTGTTACCTTTCAATTTTCAATTCCAGTTGACTATTTTGTTGTACTGTAATGATGATTTTCTTATCAACATTGCATCGCAGCTTGAAGCAACTCTTGTCCCTGGGAACAGTAGAGAAGTTACTTCGTCCATCATCTTCTTTAAATTCCAGGCCAACACTAAAAATGAACTTTCGCTCCGATTCTGTCAGACTGCTGATGGATTCACTGCGAGGCTGCTTAGGAACACGGCGGAATGTGGTTGCAAAACAGTACAACACCTTGGCCACCTGTTGCAACAAACAAAATACACAATTAAAATAAAATTCTACATTAAATACTTGTAAAATAACAAACAGTTAAAAAAAAACAAGAGACAAAGTTTACTGATTACCTGAGTAGAATATTTCCATATAATAAAGTTATTGGGTTGCTCAAAACCACTTCCAACTTCATTTTGTATCAAATCTAGTATTTTATACAAAACTACAATTATGCAAACAGAAGTTATTGTGAATTAATGATAGAAATTGTTAATTAAATGTAGAAATAAAATGATATCCCACTCAAGCAGAATTAATTGAAATTACTTTTTAAGAGAGAGAATCTAACCAGAAGCAGCCACTGTGCATAAAACAATTACAACTTCTTTTACATGGTATTTTTCTAAGCATAGGATGTGGCATGAGGCCGAAAGTATGGGGCAATGAGTGAGGATCGAACTCACTATTCAGTCGTAATTGATCTAGCGAGACAAGCTTGCTAACCATTACACCATGTTGAAATGCCCTACAATTTCTTTTACATGCACAAAAATGAAGCCTACCTTTTTTAGATATTTATATTGAATTCTCCAATAAATCATTTTCTTTATGGATTATAATAAATTAAAAAGAATTTACCCCACATAATTAAACCATATCAAATGAGTGTAGATTAGAGAGAAAAGTTTTAGCATGAACAATTTTTTTGATTTTTTAGGGTGAGAAAATAAAGAAAAACAATTATGAGAATTACTGAAAAATTCTCAGCCTGACTGACTTCCAAAAACCTGACCAAATGAAAATCAATAAGATTTTTTTTTTGTAAGGATATCTTTGTAGAGCCAGGAACTTTTCAGTAGTTCCACCATTATATCTCTCTATATATATATATATATATATATATATATATATATATATATATATATATACACACACACACACACATTTTAGCATGGGATTTTTATTAATCTGAGAGAGCACAAATTTTCTTTAATGAGATTTCTTGAACATTCAGGCCAGTAGACGAAAATAAATATACTGTTTAATAAATAGAATACCTACATAAATCTGAGTACCCACTAAAATAACATTTAAAGTGATAAATATATAGCAGAAAAGAAAAAGAATACCAGTTTATGTTTTTAAAAATGTAATCTTGGCACATATATATATATATATATATATATATATATATAGTGTTTTTCAAAAAGTGAAAAAAAAATTTTTTTTAAATATAAACATTTTTATGGAATTCTAAAATTTTACGTCCTACAAAATTTGTTTCCTGTAACATTTGTAGTAATCAGTTGTCATCTGCCATTTTCCATAACTAACAAATTAGTTGAGAAGAGCCCAAAAATTTATTTTTACAAAATTATCTAAATAATTCAAAATGATCTGTTTAATCAAATTTTCTGAATTATTTAAATGAGTGAAAAAATAGTAAGTTTGCTGAATTAATTTTTACTATTACATTAATATAAACATTAGAAAATTATTCCATTTTTTCTCATGGTCAGCTTTATGTAGTTAAGCCCAGAGTAGGAAATTCAAGTGAACTTAGCATAATGATAAAAAGAATTTTAGAAAAAAGATGTCTTGCTGAAATTTTGTTTTATACAGATTATTTTATGAATGAGAATTTCTATCACAACTTACTGTCTAAAGAATAGGTATTCAGCTAGTAATTAAAATAATTGTATTCTCTTTCTTTATTAATTCAGAAATTAATTACAGCTCATAACGTATTTTGAATTCTTATAAATTTCAGCAACTCATAAAGCATAGCTGTCATGGTCATTATACTCATAAAATTAGCTAAAAAATAAATAGAAAATTTGAAATTGAATAAAATTGGCCTTAAAACATTGAATAAGAGAATTTTTTTTGTTTTACTTACTGCTTCTGGTAAGTCACATCTGAATACGTGACACTGAAAGATGGTGGTTTCTGCAGTATCCCCATGACTACAGGTGAATGCAAAACAACGCCTTTCATTACTGTCAGTGGGACCCCGGGCACAGAAGAGGATTCTGTGTATTCGATAACTGGCAATGTCAGAGTTAGTGGCTGGATCAAGCAGTCTAAAGGAAAGAAAATTAAAGAAAATAGACAAGATGTATAAATATTGAAAAATAAATCCGCATACTTAAAAGTGATGAAATATTTAATCATTATATAAATATAAAAAAAAAATAGGTGATTATTTCAGATTTGTATAATGTTGAAAAATATTTTTGCAAATATAGAAAATTATGAATCCTTCAGTAAATCTGTGATATTTTTTTTTATTAAGAATGAAAAAGAAAAGACCAAATTTCGTCTGAATTTTAGGGATGAGGAATTATCATTTACATTTTTTCTACTCAAACTATTGATCTCATTATGTTGTTATTATTAAAATGTCTTGGACACTGCTCCCCAGCCTTTATCAGATGCTTGTAAATCTGAGTAACCTTTGGAAAATTTAAAACTCAACTCTAATCAATCTCATCTTGTTCTTATTCACCTTTTTTCCGTTGAGTCTAAGTCTACACTGCACAGCCCAGGGATTGAATACATGATTACTATATCACCAAATTCATAAACCAACATTAATTCACTAGGTTACTGTTTTGAAGGACAATCCCAACTCTAGCCTTAAACCTACTCTGACTACTGCAACTTGTCACACTTGACTGCATTCATTAAGGCTTCTCTTTTCTTACTGTTGCTGCTGTTGAAACCTTGTTATTTCTCTCTTTATTTCTATACTAGCTCTACAAAGGAGTCCCTCATAGCCTAGCATATGTACTGATTCTTCCAGATGTCTAACTCTTCAGTGTTATTCTACCTAGAATTTTTACTTCATTCCATAGGAGTTGGTGACTACTCTTATCTCTATATGATCAGCTATGCCTGATTTCATGGTCTTGTGTTAATTATAGCTTTTTGATGTTCCTCCAGTCTTACTTTTAGGGAGTGTCTATAACTTGAAAAGAGTTTTTTGTTTTGTTATTAATGTTGACATTATTGACAGATGGTGATGCTCACATAATATAACTGCTATTCACCTAATCACTGCAATAATAAAATAAGTCAATCACCTTTAATTAAAACTTAAAATAGTTTCATTTAGACGACAGAATATAACTTCTTACCTAAAAGATTCATTTAAATCTTTTTAAGAAGCAATTCAGAATATTTCATACACACATACACACACATGTACAAATATTGCAAAGTAATGTCTTTATGTGCATATAGACAACTTACCTGACAATACCTTCTGATGTGCTAGGTACAGACAGTACCACTGGAATAGACATCTGGGACTGCTCATTGAGAACTGCCATATTGCGGTAGATTTCCACCTCACTGCGTGGAGCATTGACTGTAGCACAGCCCAGGTAGGTAACTCCATGGAAAATAGTAGCATCACCATTAGGAGTGACTGGTAAAGAGACAGATCGGCCTCTGTCTGGAAATGGAAGGATGTCACATGGTCAGCCTGTTTGGAGTGCAGTAGACAGTTGGGAGAGGGAACACACCCTCAAAGGGGTACTATTTCTAGACACAAGTTCAAAGATAAAACAAGGATGAGGAGATGAGACTGACTGAGGAAGAACACCTACACCTTAACTTAGTTTAATGTTTAATAAAGTCTATAATTTAGTAAAGAGCACAAATTGTAAAATTATATTTGTATACCATAAAAACTAGACTATAAATTCATATTTCTCCAAAATGGTTTTAAAGCAGTTGATATACAAATGCATTTATACAAGGATTTTTTCCTTGAGTTAACAGTTTATGAAATTATACAATGTGAGATGACTATGTTAAAAAACAATATACAAGATGTTAAAAATTCATCTCATTTACTCAATACTTTTTCCTAAGTTTTATTTTGCTTTTTATACTTGAAAAAAATTTACTGAGGTTTGTTACAAATCTCCATGAATATGAATTAAAATATTGTACCCTAGAAGTATTTTATTGACTTCATAACCTATTGAAACAAAAACGGTGTCACCTTATGGAAAGTTGTAACTACTAAAAATAAATGGAAGTGGCCATAGATTTAAAAATATACTAACCTTGATGCTATAACATTTTTTCTAAATGACTGTTTAGAAATAAAATAATGAAGAAAGTGAACAAAATTATTCAGATAATAACCCTATTCTGTGTCAGTAAAGTTTACCTTGATTCTTGACCACCAAAAAGCCTTAAGGAAACTTTATCAAACAGGTAAAAGATTGTACAACTTTATAGCTAATCATCAAGTTCCACTTAAGCACTAATGTTAATTTTCATTCATTTATAGACTTGTGAACAACCTTCAGATGGCTTTCATAGAATAATTTAATAACATCTTTGAAGAGTGGACTATAGAAAATTCTTCTTTGAAGCAGGTCAAAATTTAACATTTTTATCCTTGAGGCATAACTTTAATCTAATATTTTGCTTAAATTTTCTAGCAGATAAGTATTAAATGATTAACTTCTTGAATTTATATTTGTTATATCTGTTCACATAGTAAATGTACTATGGAATTTTTGGCATCTACTGTCTAAATATGATTTTAGTATTTGTTGTATCACTATAGATGCAAACAGAAAGAATAAAAAGTTTTAATGTTTAATAAATCTTACTCCATATCAGTTTACAACAAAAGTCATTAAACATTTCTGAAAATTATGTAAATAAAAAATATTTTTCTGAATTTCTATCAGAATGAATATGATGTTTAATTCATTAAAATAGTTTTAAGTTGATAAAATAAATTTTATATAATTTTTTATGAATTTTAAAATGCAATGCTATTTTCACATTTATCACTGATATAATCATGTTAAATAATTTTGAACAGTTAAAAAGATTTCAGTTTGATATAAAATATATGAAAATCAAAATAATCAATAGGTATATTGGAAATTTACTCTTTTTTATGAGTGTAGATATTTTTCTAATTATCTCCTTATCATAATCATTATGGAATAATACTATTTCCTACATTCTTCTGAAAATCAATAATTAATATTCCTGTATGATCCAATTATTAACAAGATCTACATTTGAGTGGCTTACAATATTCAGATATAAATTATAGTCTAGTTTTTAGGATATGTTTTACATTATTATTGTTATAATATAATAATTAGTAGTAGTAATAGTAGTAAATAAGTCAGGTTATGTCAGATATAAATAGCACAAATCAACAATGTCAATGTAAAATTTCATAAATAAAAATTAAAGCAAACTAATACAACAGTATTTGCAAAAAATGATACTATGAAAATGGTATAAATAATTTTATAACTACCTCAGGCTATGTACCCATCTCCGAATAAAGGGAAAAATTAAGGGAAGCGCAATAATAATTTATTGGGCAGAATTACTTTTCCATTCAACACACATTTTGGCTCAAATACAGCCAATTTTTTAAATTTGAAAAGAAAAAAAAAGATGTTAAATTTCATGCAGTTTGTAAATATTCAAAAATTTATAATGACTTCAAAGTGTGAATGGAAGTGAACAGGATTTATTAACCATTGTGATGTGGGATAGAGGAAAAGGTAACAGTTAGCAAGTCATGGTAACTGTATTAGTGGTGAGGCATACAAACAGACTCCATCAGATATTAAGACATGCACTGCAGCAAGACAGACGTGCAAGCCTCTGCTGGCTGCATTGCTCTCCTCAAAAACTAAAACACAGAGCCACATACACTAATTTGGAAGATCATATCAAATCCATAGCAACTGAAACACAACATGAGGAAGAAAGAAAACCAGTCCAATCACTAAGAAAAAAAACAAAAAAAAACAAAGAGCAAAAAAAGGTAAATTTTCAGTTAATGCTCATATCATATTATACTGTGAAAAGGCTTTTGTAAAAAGAAAAAACAAAACACTTTTTAACCTTGTAAAATATAAAACCAATATTTAAGGCATCAATAAACTTTAAATAAAAAATTTTTTCAAAGCTTTCAACTACTTTCATCATTCTTTAATTAAAGTTAATCAATTGAGTAAGAATAATTCACAGTGATTAAAAAAAATGTAAAACTGAGAATTTTCTTCATTGGAATAAAATTAACCCATTAACTGCAGCAAAAAGTTTTCACTCACATTTGAGCCATAGAACTGCACTGGCAGAAATTCCTGTATTCTGCAGGTAATGGGTTGTGAAATATGAAGTTTGCTTAGTGTTATTTTAACTATTTTTGGTTTCTATAACTTAAAGAAAAAAAATCACACAAATATTATAAAGATTATAAAATAAGAACCTGTTCACAATATTCAAAACCTAAACATTAACTACATTTTGAAGATGCAAAATTCTGCATCTGAAGAATACATCATTCCAACAGGAATCATGCAAAGACAACATTAACATGACAACACCAAGAAAAAGTGCTTCTGTAAAAGAAAAGAAATGTGATAAAATTAATATGGGAAGGATTTGATCCATTAGCATTACATAAAAAATATATTCTTGGAAAGTTCCAGGAACAATTTGTTTTTTAAATTCCCAGAACAATTTAAATAAAAAAAAAAAAAAAATAAATAAATTCATTAAATTATTTTTTTTTTAATTTCATAAACATTCTAACCCCAAGAATCCAGCAATTATATATATATATATATATATATATATATATATATATATATATATATATATATATCTATCTCAACCTAAATAATTAAGGAAAAAGTTAAAAAAAAATAAAAAAGGCCAAAATTGAATGATTTAAAACAGAAAAGGATGCCACAGTAATCATAATTGATCATCATTCCTTTCATATTTTTGTATTCAAAAATCTTTTTCAACAATGAACAAGTTTTCTGCTAAAATAAAATACTGGGTCACACATGCTGGATTCTGTAAAGCAAGATTGTAAGCAAGTATAAAAAAAAAAAAAAACAGTCTGTAAACAAAAGTAAACCATCAACCACAGAGCTACCATAATTTGTAAGAACAGCCAGCCAGCCTAAAAGAGTGCACCAAATGGAATAAAAATGTAAGCAATAAGCCAGAAAAAAATCCCATCACCATTGCATATTAGTAAATAAGAATTCCTTTATACAGTCAAAAGTTAAAACCTTTTTTTTTAAATCTTGGAAAAAAACAAGGCAGGAAACTAAAAATATGATGTAATCGGTAAACAAATATATATTGAGCTTTTTACTATTTCTAGCTATAGGATTTCCATGTGCATAAGGACCGAGAAAACAGTCTTTCCTTTACTTTTTTTTTCCTCTGTAGCATTTATTTTAACTGCTATATGTGATAATGCGTTTTGGAAAAATGTGTTGTCTCTCATAAGAGCAAGGAAGTGAATGCTAAGAAATTTACAGATTATAATAATATTTATATTAAACTTGACATTGTTACTAATGAAAATGCTTAACATGAAATAGTAACATGTGATAATGTCCATCTAATTCTAGTAAATTTGGTAACTGTCCATAAAAAAAACAATGGACAAATAAAAATTGATTATAAAATCCTCTGCATGACATTCTGTAGTCTTCTAACATGATACTTATACCAGATATTGTGGCGGACATGAGACAGAACCTGGGACGAGCACAACTGGTCGTGACTTGCCTTGTCCCCGCCAAAAAAGAGCCCGTATTTGCTTAGCATGTAAAGCTACTGCAGTTGAAATGAGGGAGAGAAAAAAGCACTTACCGCTCTGCCGTAATCCATCCTCGGCCAGATAATGTAAAAGAATGAGGGGGGACTGGCATTGCATTTTTATGCAATAAAGATGCAATGCATTATGGGACATGGACGCAATGAATTATGGGATCACATGAAGACGTAAGGGATTATGTGTATATGAACAACTATAAAAGCAACTACTTTTTTCCGAGTCGGAGAGTTCTTCGAGGGACGTTCACAGTTGACGGCAAGAACGGGCAGTTAGTGTGATTTTGAGACAGAACTCAAGAAGGAACGACTCAAGGTTGAAATACCAGCTGGGAGAGCTTGAATTTACTCAGTGGTTACTGTTTTCTTTATTCGCCTCAAGCTATTTCGGCATATTGATTCTTCAAAATGGAAGGCAAGGTCTTTGACGTCTGTTTGATTCCAGAATTCAGCGGCGCCCCAACGGATATGCCCATTGTTGAATGGATAGAAAATGTGGAATTGGTCTGCGAACTTTGTGCCATGGACAAGATCGAGCGCATCTTGCCTCTACGACTTGGCGGTGCCCTTGCTGTGTATAGACAACTCAGTGGAGAGCAGAGGGCAGACGCGGAACAAATTAAATGGGCCCTTATGACTGCATATGCGACTGACAGATTTAATGCGTTCGACCAATTTATGGGACGGCATCTTCGCCCAGGGGAAACTGTGGATGAATTCCTGGCTGAAATGCATCGTTTGGCGCGGCTAATAGGAGAACCGCTACCTGATCGGTGGATGGCATGTGCATTTGTGTCAGGACTGCCACATCATGTT